CTCTTGGAACATAAGTATCTCTTAAATGTGCTCTTGGATAATGAATTTCAGACCAAACTTTTCTGTCAAGTTGAAATACAAACATTCTATCTGATAATTTACTAAATCGTGCTACACTGGCTACTACTCCTCCATAAATTAATAAAGAATTAGTAGCTTCATGATATACAGTTGAATGTGCAACTACACGTACATCTAATTCTTTACCTCCTCGAGGATGTACTTCTTTCCATTTTTCTGTAGTTGCTGTAGGATCAGCTTGAATTGGAACAAATTTATATAAAATATTTTGATTATGATAAAATTAAAATATAATAAACATATTGAATTATATAAACTTACATAAATTCAATTTAATCTTATATAAATTTGATGAAAATTCACCATCAACTGTACTACCACCAAAAAGATAAATGTAATTATTTGCTAAAGTAAGTGTATGTCTTGTTAATTGTGGAGGATAAAATGGTGAATTTTTTGCTCTTAATGTCCAGGAACGTGTATTAACATTGTAATACCATAATTCATTAGATAAAGAACCATCTTGTACTTTTCCACCATATATAACAAAACCACCTATTAATGTATAAATTATTAAGTTATAAATTATAATAATAATAATATTATTATTATTTTAAATATTTCAAATGGATGTAACTGACCATCATATCTACAAGCAGCATGGCCATATCGCGGACTTGGTTTAGGTAATTTATCAATTGATGATTTAGTAGATTCATCTTTAAATAATTCGTCTCTTACTTTAGGTTCTTGAACATAAATATTGTCTCCAATAGAATCTTCTGCAATTTCCTCTTCCCAATTTAATATATCACTTTTTATATTTGAAGTATGAAATTTCTTATAGAAATTTAGGTTTTCAAGATTTCTACGATGTCTACTAATAATATTAAATTAATAAAAAAAATATTAACATCAAATTAATCATCATTAAGTAATTATATCATATATTTTATTCTTACCTTGTAGTTTGTGCATATCGAGGTCTAGTATGTCTAGAATGTTTTTTTCTAAAATCATCATTTCTTTCTATTCTAATTGTACTTCTACTAGTTTCATTATCTTTAGTTTCATGAATTTTTTTTTCACGATCATTATGATCTCCAATTCTAAATTCTGACCAGCCATATCTTTTTTCTACATTTGCAAGATTACGTGAATTAAAGGTATTATTATTATCTTTAATACCAGAAAGCAATTTCCATATGAAAGACGAAGTACGAAGACCATATAATTCTTTTTCATCTGCATTTGTTCCTTTTAATTCAAGAGCAAGAAGTATAGGATCTAAATGTTCTGCAGATGAGATGCCTTCTGTTTTAAAGAAATATACATAATAATTTTATAATATAATATATATTAAAATATATACACACACACATACTCTCTCTTTTTATATATATATCTGTTATAATGAATTACTTTGTGCTTTCTTCTTACCTAATTCATTACCATATTCATCTTCCCATTGACTTATATTAAATCGATACACTTCCAAATTATCAAGTATATAATTGAGATCATAGCCACCAAAAATATAAAGAGAATCAGTTTCTTTTATATAAACTGCAGTATGTGCTGCCCGTGGTCTTAATCCACCTTCTGAATGAGAAAGCCAGTGCCATCTATTTATCATATTTAATAATTAATAAATAATAATTATATTTAATGTAATAATATATTCCATAACATACTTGTTGCCTTCAGGATGCATTTTATGTAATGAACAAGATTGTCCTGAATATCCATTTTGACAGTGACATCGTTTTAAATCACATTTTCCACTATAACTGCAATTATTTGGACAAAGAGCTCTAGAACAATCTCGTCCACCCCAATCATCCTCACAAAAGCATGTATTATCAATACATTTGCCATGATTTGTACAATTGTTTGAACAATTTGTAACTGAAAATTCTGCATGGAAACCATCCAAAACATAGTTTGTATCACTGTACAATAGTATTAACATCTATAAAAAAAATATTTAAAAAATATAGTTATCACAATTTTTTAATAATTTATATATATTATTAGATAAGTTTATTAGAATTAGTTTATTAGAATTTCATATTCACATACATAGCCAGATGATGATGTTACTTGTTGTGGTTCAGTTTTACCACTGAAACTGCCTAAAAGAGGAGATCGGAAAGAATCTCCATCATAAACAAAAACATAATCATAGCTACATTCTGTTCCCATTGTACGAAAACTTAAAGTAATAAATTGTCGACTATTATTTGCTGTAAAATATATAAATTAATTAATTAATTATAAAGAATAAAAAAAATTATTGTAAGATTTATTTATAAGATATATTGTAATGTATAAGATTTTTTACCTTTTATAAGCCATTCACAATGAGAATCTTGAGTATAATTTGAGCCCAATGGTCCATCACTAATAATTCCCCAAGAATCAGTAAAAACTTTTCTTGTTTTATCACACGGAATTTGTTTTGGAGATGTCTGTGGAGCTAATTCTAAGCCCCGCAAGAGGCAACTCCATATAGTAATCCATATTATGGTGGACAAAACCCACCCCATTACAGTATATTCGCCTCACTGCTGTTTGATAAAATAAAACTCATCATCCATGTTTATTGGATTGTTTTGTGAGCAATTATATTACAAGCACAAAGAGTCATATCTGAAAAAGCAAATTTTTTTGTTATTTCAATAATTATCATAAGAAATTTATTATTAATTATTTAATATTATTTATTAAATTTTAATATCTTATGAGATAGTTATAATAATATTTTATAAAAACAATTTATTATTATTACATAATGATAATAACATAATTAATTTTTAAAATAAAAACAAATAAATATGGATTTTTTTAATTAAATGGATTTTTTAATTAAATTATGGATTAAAATTTTCAATTATATTTTATGTAATAAATATAGAAAAATCATAATATATTTTTATTTATTCATATATAAAAATAATAATAAAAAATGAAAATGAATAAAATCATCTTATTAGTATGCAATAAAATCTTTTTATCCATAGCAGTTTATAAAAACATGTATCAACCAGTATTATTAGTTCTGCATTACAAATAATTTTAAATCACAGCAATAGTATTCAAGTATGCCTTGTCACAATCACGTTGTACAATAATCATTCAAGCGTCAAACATATCGTTCCTGACTAGAACATTAATCAGTTATAAAAAAAATTTATAACAAATTAATTTATAAATACACTACTATAAAACTTGCAACAATAAGTAACGAGACGACAAAACACTATAATTTTTATCAATGAAACAAAATCAAGAAACATTCTTTAACTAAATAGATACGATAAAACTTCAGCTGCGATTGAATCAAAACATTATGTACGTATATACATATACACGTCAGAAAAATTTGTACCATGCTATACTTTGAACAGTTGCATTCTCTGAACACCAGTTATTATGAAAATATATATCTTGATTATCACGACTTAAATATTGCTAATACAAAAGGATAAGTGATAAAATAAATCTGCAAATATGAACAGACAAGAATTATCACGTAAACTCTGTTCGGCCTCGCCTGTTGACACCTTGACTGTCTCTGCATACGAGGTCAGGGTGGGGGCTCTTCAACCGCCATTAAATTCCCTTCATTTCGAACGCGGTCTCAATATTCGAAAGTTTCCAGGGACACTGATTGGAAAAAAAACGCCATATAAAATCACTTTCCATTATAGGCTTAATATTCAACTTATGATGTTAATCAAGTAATTTATAATTGCTATAAAAACAAATTTTTTTTTTACAATTTTTACACGTCTATTTTTTACAATTTTGAGATATTACAAAAATTTTTTTTGTTTAATAAATCATTGAATTAAAAGGACTATAATAAAACATTAAAAAAAATAATAAAACTTCAAACTATACTATAAACATATAAATTAATTTATTTTCATTAATTTTAAAAAAAATGTTTAATTATTTAATTTTTAAACTAAAATTATTGTATTTCTTGTAATTTTATAAAGAATATAGTTAGAATTTCATTCAAAAATTATAAAAAAAAAATTAAATTAAAATATATTTATACACATATACATATAAATGCGAATATGCCAAAAGTTATTGATTTTTTATATTTTTTATATATAATTTTTTCTACTAAATTTAATAAATACTTTAAGGAGTGACTTATAGGAATGAGGATAATCTTTTTAATAAGATTTATTAAATAATAAATTGAAAAATTTAGTCAAACTTCCATACTTGAAAATCAATATATTCTTTATGAATATTTATTATAAATATTCAATTTATTTTTTTTAAATTTATTCAAAAAATAAATATTATTACAGCAATTGCATTTACATTTAAATAATTTATATTGTAAAATATTTTTTAATTTAAAAGTTAATATTAATATTATCACATTATGGTCATATTTTTGACATTGTATTTTTTTGCATTTAATTAAGATATACTATTTACGAATGTGAGATACTATTACTTTATATTTTTTACAAATAGAATAAGTTAGTTAAAAACTTAAAATATTATTTAAAATAATAAATAATATATGATAGCTAATCTTTTAAAATAATATTAATAAATAATTCAAATAAAATTAAAACATTTTTTGTTAACTTATGTTAATATAATATTTTGAATAAAAAAAATAAACTTGTTTTTACTTTTATCTATTATATTAGAATGTATTTAAAATTTACTTGGTAAATCTCAAATATAGTAAAAAATAATCCATAATGTGTTAATTATATATTACATTTAATATTTATCTTCAAATTAGGTACTTTCAATAATGAAATTAAAACTTCAAATGTAAATGCAAAAATATTATATCTTATTAGTTTTTTTAATGTTTATATATGTATGAAAATTTTTATATAATAATTATATAACCAATTAATTATTATATTTATAATTAGTCGTTGTATATTCAAATTATTGTTTAATAGGGAGAGATAAAAACAGACACATAATTAGAAATCTGAAATATATATGATGTTATCATATTATACACTTGAAGACTATAATGTATTAACTTATGCGTGTCAGAATTTGCAAAGTTCTATCAATATATTTTAATTATAAACTTATCGAACCGATTTATATCTATCAACTGGTTTATTATAATGCATAGCCTCTATGACAATAGAAAAGATCAGTAACCACCCCCCTTAATGCACTATATGTGTGCATTTACATATATGATCCCATAACATATCTGTGGTATACTTCTCTAAACCATCAACAGATATTCTGTATATTGCCAGAATCATAACGATTGATACAATCGCTCTCTTTAGTTGTATAGCATACTACCAATGCGGTATAACGGTATAAATTATCTTCTCTGTTCAATAACTTTGAAAAGATATTCGCGTATTACATATTTATTTTGTCACTGATGCAGTTTATTAAAAAGTTAATCAGGTATTAGAATTTGAACAGAAAAAATCTATAAAGCAAATAAATGATTTTAAAAATTTGTTAATTTCACAATTGTGTACTTATTTATATCAAAGAAAATCGATTTTTAATTTTTTAAGGTAACTATCATACATAGATGAATAAATTGTAACAATCACCATATTATTATAAATATGGAAAAAGCGACTTTTTTTATAATTATATTAATTTTACACACAATTCTTTTTTCATGATTCATTCAATTTCTAATGCTGTATTAAAAATAATTTGAAACATAAATAAGTGAATATGACATAATAATTACTTCACAGCTTTTATCAATATTTCAAACTGTCGAAAAACAAATCGCATTTTTTTTTTAATTTTTTTTTGTTTTTGATAATTTACTAAAAAAGAGAAAATATATATATTTATGATGTTATATATTTGTTATATTATATAGATATTTGTGTCAATTTTCATTTTTTGAAATTAGTATACAATTAAAAGAAAAAATGAGAGGGGTGACTTCTTTTTATGAACTAAATGAAAATATTGAGAATATTTGTACTAAAAACTTGCAATTTCTGTATTCATCTGCCACAGGCAGAGTAACAGAAATAAACATCTTTTTCTACAGCCATTGGATTTTATCAGTATTAAAAAAAAAGGCCATTATATAAAATTTTAAGTAAGACATAATATGAAATTGACTGATTGTAGGAATGATAAAACGATATGAAAAATACAATCAGTCGTCTTTCTTTTGCATTAATATATAAATATATTCCATAATGGCCGTTAAGATGATCCAATGTTATGGATCCTAGGACTGTTAGGGAAACTAAAATTGTTTAACCCCTTTGGTGTAAATATTATAGTAAATTACAAGTTACAAAACATTTTCTTCGACTTTTTCTTTCCTCTTGTGGTCTTTTCTAAGCAGTGTTTTCTGAATCAGAACCATGACATAAACGGCTTCTTAAAAGAGAAACATCAAAGACAGTCTTTCGCAGTATCATCCTCTCCATAGATCTCTGATAATGTTGTCGTTTGACCGCAAACTAAGTCTGAGATACTTTTTGCTTTTACCGAGTGGCCGAAGGACTTTGCACAAACGCTAAAATCTTTCGTCATTTCACTGATCTCTTTGCTCTCCTGATGATCACATGTACTTGATAATTTAATGCTTGATATTGGATATATATTATTATCGTCACCAATACTATTCTTACCAAAAGATGCAAATGAAGTTGTAGTTGATGTAGTTGTGATCATATTTCGTGATTTATCAATGTCCATATAATAATCCTAAAATGAATTGAATTATATTGTTTTTTTTAATATTGAAGATTAACTTCTTCCCCAAATATAATATTGATATTCATAAAAATTATTACTAACCTTTTCTGAATTTAGAGAATTAGTAATTTGAGGTTGAGGTGCACAACTCTGATTACATTGTGCTAAAGCAATTAGTGCCTTTTGATTTTCTCTTGCATCAACTAGAAATATACTTTCCTTGACTTCTTTTGCATTATATTCATCAATTCTATACAAAATATTAAATAATTATTATATATATATTTTTATTTATTTATACAAAAATAAAATTTTAAACATTGTTTACTTGTCATAAATAACTGCATGCAAGCCAAGTTTCTTTAAATGTTGAATTGTATCTTTATCATTATTATCATCTCCCCAACAAAAAATAATTAATCCAGCATCCTTTACAAATTTGACTTGTGAGGGATCTCTAAGAATATCTTCAGTATGAACATTAATTCCTAAAATATCAGCTGCTAATGCATGTCTAACAGCCATTGGTATCGTTTGACATCTCGGATCATGATAAGTAGGATACTTTGAAGTTACACCTTGTGTTAAAAATACTACTGGGTACTTATTTTGCTTAAGACGAATCATGGCACAAATATCTGGATTGAATGATGAAAAAACAATTTTCCTATCTCCTCCATATTCTAGAACGACTTTCAATATAATGTCCAAATACATATTAAGATCGAAAGGATGATTAAGCTCGAATGTACCATCCTGTATACATATATATATATATATATATACAATTTCCATAAAAAAATAATAAACATACAAAATAAGTATATAAACTTATTATTTTTACCTTTAATTGCATAGTCCATTTAATTTCGATATTACAGCCAACATGTTGTTCTAATTCTTGAAGTACAGTTTGAAGGGTAGGAAAAGGTTGATGATCTTCTAAATCTTCATCAAAAAATCTTGGATTTTTTTCTCGACCTTCAGCCACATGATACACCTGTAAAAAAAATGTATTTAATAAAAAATAAATAAAATAAATCATTCCGTCAACGAAACTCTGTTAGATCATAAATGTTGTCGATATTTGATATGAGAGATTTTTTGAAGCCAAACAAAAGCAAACACTCTGAAGTCATGTGAATATATTAAAAGTAATATCATGCCTTTCATGATATTATTCACATGCTGTGATAATATGTTTTTTTATAATGTGTATACATTTTTCGATGAAGAATTTCGCGCTTGTGCGAAATATATGAAGTCAGAGGGAAATAAAACTGGTGAAAGATTATTAAAAATGATCTTCAAGATCTTTAAAGCATCTTTGCAAGAGATCGTTTGGTGATATTATATTGATAAAAAGTATTTTTTAATTGGATTACTTTAATAACTTATAATATTATAATAAGATAAAGCTTTTAGCTTTTAATTAAAGCATATAATGTACGATATTGTGACACGATGATATGATTTTAAAAATTAATTTTAATTGATTTTAGAATAAATTTTAAATAGCATGCATCGAGTTTTTTAAATAATTAATTGGTTATACATTTTGACGACGAGTTAGGCGGCGCAAGCGGTATGAAAGCTCACCAGTTGGTTAACCCCCTGCTCAGCTTTATCAACGAAATACAGCACCTTACCCAACGAGTCCCCCGGGTAATAAAAATCCTGTTGAATATTAAAAAGAGACAAATACGAATAGGTATGTTACACCTATAAATTCATGATTTCATGTCTGTGTATCTACATACGATACAATCCTTGAAGTGATTGATTTTTCCTTTAATACAAAAAAGGACATAAAAAGCAATATTAACACGCGTAGCATTATTAAGAAGCTGCATTTTATTGGTTAATGATAAATGAAAATTGTTAGATGAACTATGAATCCTATTAATTTTTTAAAAGATTATTAAGTAATTAAAAATATATAATAATTCTTGATTAACACTTTTTACATGAAATTAATACTTATTTCTTGATATATAATTTAAAATATTTTTTTGTATCATTTATATATTTTTATAACTAAAAAAAATCTTTTAACTTTTTTCGTATGTTTACGCAATATAAATATTTTATAATAAAAGAAAAAATAAAATACATTAAATTGTAAATGTAATTGAAATTTGTAATTATAATTATGAAACAATGATATGAATGAAAATAATATCATTCAAATTTAAATACATATTTTAGAAATCATATATATATGTTCATATTTAAAATTACCTTCAATAAATGTAGTTGTTCTAATGTAAGATCTTTAACAGGTATTTCTAGCATATCCATAGCTTCTATTTGTTTCTTGCGTTTTAATGAAATAGACACATAAAAATCGTGGTAAATAACCGGTATGTGATCTTTAGATAATTGAACATCAAATTCAACCATATCAGCTCCATGATATGATGCAGTCTTTAAAGAAGCTATTGTATTTTCACGCACATTAGCACAGCTGTGAATAGACAGATAAATAAAAATATGAACTTTAGCATTCAAAATAATTTTAACAAAATTTTAAATTTTTAATGATTTTAAAAATATTAACATACTTTTTTGTTTGAAAAGAAGTACCTAATCCTCTATGTCCTACATCTAGGCCAGACCACCGTTGTTCCCAATGTTTAGCATATGAAATACTCATATCCCATGGATAATCTGGAATTGATTTTATCACAACATATTCTAATGTAAGTTGTCCTGCAGAAAAAAGAAAAATTATTTATAGTAATTGATAATGATTTTTAGTATTAAAAAACGAAATAAAAAGAAAAACCAAAATAAAAATCATACCAATTGGTCTATGCTTTGTGCTTGTAATTGGTACTGTTAGAAGCCCAACGCTTGATTGTAATGTACTAGGTAAAATATAGCTGAAACCGATATGACTTGGTGGTTCTCCTGGAAAACATCTTGAGCTGTATACGTAGTAGTCCACCAAATAAGCCTGAAAAAACACTCTATTCAGTATATACGGAAAAATATTATTACTTATAACAACACCAAATGCTTGCATCAATATTTTTTTGCTTATCCATTATAGAGCTTGTTTCAATTAATTAAGTCCAATGATCAAGGACAATTGGTTTGAAGAAACTTTTTTCTGAATTTTTCTAATCTGAGAAACAAGAAAATTACTAATAAATATAATCAAAATTTATGGCACATTATTAACGATCCTTGATCACTAAAAATCGTAGGAATTAAACTATATTATGAAAGACATTTGTACATCTTGTTCTTTCGAACTTTTATCAATTTTTTGGCAGTTTTAAGTAATTTATAGGCAAGAGCAACAAATTACTAGTAAAACAAAGATAATTTATTTCCTACATAATCTAGCAATGAACCAGACCAATAATTGCCAAATGCTGTACTCTGCCTGGTGACGCGTATCCCGCAACACCTGCCGATCATTCATTATTAAATTTCGATATCAAGTCTGTAAAGTTTGTAATTCAGATTTAGAAGATTCTGACAGCTTAGTCTGGTACTAGCCGCGCAGCGGTATCACGTACGGTACAGTAGAGTTGGTCAGAGCTAGAAAATATTAGTAGTACACTAAAAGGATATAGGAGTGATGGGAGCCTCACCATTTTCGACGCACACAGATGGATATGAGGTGTGACAGCGTTGATATCTCTAAATTTTTAGGTTTATTTAGGATGGCTGTAACTCGCATAAATCGATCTCGTATAATAATATAATATAATAAATAAATTGTCTTATAAAATCCAGACTTTAGATAGATATATTTGGAACAGACTTTAAATATGATATATTTGGAAAAAATTTACAGATTTATGAGAGATCAGCCTAAGGATAGGTATGGTAGGGTTAACGACAATCAAAACCATCATATCTCTGTGTGATGTCATGTGACACAGATGTAAAGTGGTAGACGATGCTTAGCATCGATACATCAGATTGCATGTTAGCATCATCATTTGCACCAGAGATCTTGCTTTGTACAAAGCTGACGGTTGTCTTCATTCCAGGCCAATGCGCGTGACATCGCTTCTGGTTTCCAAGGAGGGCAATAGCTGCTGAACAAGTTTAATTATTTTTTACCAAGTAATTTGAACAAGTCGCGAAAGAAGACGTGGCCGGCCTACTCGTGGTCTACTGAAAACTCACATGGTATGGTCAATGCGTATTTTTAGCGTGTCTAATTTCTTATCTGAATTACCAATAGTTCGTCATTTATTGCTCTGCCATATTCATAATTTTGATTAATTTTTATTATTTGCCATTATTATTGCCGTATTTATTTATTTGCTATTTATTTACTATTTTGAATAAAGATGTACTTTTGTCATTAATTTTAGAATGAATTGAAAATCACATCACGTATTTTTTATTTTTAAATTATTTGAATTTTTCTACAGTTAATGAATAAATTATTAAAATTAATGTTTTTGATATGATTTCCATCTGCAGAATTATCCATAAAAAACAGGAAAGTTGATTTGAAATAAAATTATCCTAGATAAATATATAATGTAATATTATAAGAATTATAAGCAATAAACACCAACCAATGGTTATTCATCAAGTTGTGTATTTATTATGATTTCTTAATGAGATATTTTATATGATTACTTACAATAGTTTCAGGATATCGAACTGCAACATTGAAGATAATAAATTCGTCTTCATTGTAAGCTCGACCAAATTGTTCTTGTATCTTGAAGCGAGCTTCTTCATCATTCATTACCTAAAATTAAAAACATATTTAGTATTATATAATTATAATATTATTGCAAAAATAAATATGATAATTGATTTTGATAGCAAATATATATATATATATATATATATATATATATATATACACAAAAAGATATATAAAAAATTATATATATAATAATATTTTATAATAATATTATATAAAATTATATAATAATTATATAATGACATCATACCGCAACTTCTGTAATACTAAAGGCAGGTTGATCAATAATATCTTGCGTATCCATAGAAAGACTATCATCTACACAATCACCACCAAATTGTTGCAATTCTAAAGAATTGTGTCTAATTAAATTTACAGGTGTCATCTAAATTAAAAAAATACTTTTAATTTTTCAAATTTCATATATCAATTTTCAAGTATGTGATTAATTAAAAACGTACTTTAATGTGAACTTTTCTATTTTGTAGTCGATTTTTCCATAACTTAATTGGATTATTAAAAAGCTTAAATTGTATCACAGTTTCATCGGTCAACCAGCCTCGTTCAATTTTACAGTAGCCATTATAATAACCAAATTTGTCTGGATCAGGCAATGTGTCACTACTAAAATTGCTAGGTGCTATAACAAATTTTTTTATTTAATTTTATAATTTATGATAAAAAATATTACTTTTAAATTCATTATTAATTATATATTAGATTACATACTATTTTTCTTAATAAAGCGTGGTGTCATATGAGTCTCCCATCTACGAATAATAAGAGTCTTGGCCGAATTTTTAGTACCATTAGAATGACAGATGACAGCAACAAAATATCGGAATTCTACATCAGCATCAATGGGAAGTGCAACTTTTTGTGAAAATATTCTTCCACCTCTGAAATTTATAAATTTTATATATGCTATAATTTTCAATAATTAAATTTTATACATATATTTAATATATTAAATGAAATAAATATATTATAATTAAATATAATATAGATCATATATAAATATTAATATTAATATTAATATAAATATTATCAATAAAACTTTATTGTATTTGGAATGAAATACATAAAATATACTTACTCATCATCTATATCACCAAATGAATTATCTCCAGCATTGTCATGTCCATCGTCACTATAAAATTCTCCACTACTATTACTGTCAAAAAGTATAGGAGAATCCCGACTGCCATGTTCCTGTGACAACTGAATTGCCTGATTGTGATTCCAAGCACCCAGTTCAGGCAAATTACCCACTACATACAAAACTTCATTTTTTTCTATTTTATGTACCTAATTAAATAAGTTTATAAGAAAAATTAGAAGTACTAAAAAATTATAATATACAATATAGTTAAAATAGTGAAAAAATTATTATTAATTACTTGGACTCTAAAAATCCAATCTCTTTTAGATCCCCTCATGTCTGATGTATGTTCAGTTGCCACCTCGATGAAGTTAGTCTCACGTGGCTCCTCTTGCTGCTTGTATTCCCCGTCCTCTTTGTTCTCTATAAACCACATCCGCTGCATATTATATATGTTTTCTTTTTCTCAGTGTTTTTCTCTTTCAATTTTCTGTGTTTCAAGGTGTGTTCAATTCACATCAGCTAATCTTCTGTAATAAGGGACTTGTTGTAAAGTATGCTAAAAAATTTTTAATAGCAATCAAATGGGACGATTATTTTAGACAAAACTTTTATGAAAATCAATTTTTGTAAATTCTTCTTTTAATTAAAAATTATAATTACAAACTTTATATTAATAATTATTTTTCATGTCTATTATATAATATATTATTTAATATATTTTTATCATTTTTTTGATTAATATAAATAAATATTAAAAAAAATTAAATATTTTATGTTAACTCATATTTTAAAATTTAATTATGATTATTAAAATAAAAAAATGTTTTAAATAATAATTTAAATACCATTTTTAAATATGTTTAAATTATTTTATTCATTTATTTAAATTTCATAGATTTGATTAAAAAATTATATGTTTAATAATAAAAAAATCTATGTAGTTATATTAAAATGTATTAAAACACATATGATATTGTATTATTCTATGGTAAACAATTTTTGAAAATAAGAAAAAAATAAGATAAAAAAAACCTAAAATAAAAGAACAAATTTAAATAAATATAAAATTAAACAATATTAATATAATATACACATACATACACATATACATATATATATATATATAAATAAATTAAAAACATAATTTAATATTACAAATGAATGAATGAAAAATTTTATTAAAAAACAACCCAAATTTATCTAAAATAGATTCTACGAAATCATGAATGATAAGAGAGTTTTGTATCATATTTTGCATATTTTAATTTGATTAAATATTTGATAATTTTCAATTAAAAATTTTAACATTTAAACAAGTTTATATAATATTTTATATTATTGTTTGATAATAATAGATTATTAAAAACTAATAAGAATTAATAAGAATTAATAAGAATATTAGAAAATATAGTATGAAACAAGTGACTAAACATCAATATATGAAATAAAAGTAAAATATCTGATATTCTTTTTATAGTAATCAAAAGTATAATTTTTAAATTATTTAATAATAAATTTAATACATTAATATCATATAAATATTCATAAATAAACATCACTTTTTGTTTCACCTGATAAGTGTTATAATATGTTAATATATGTTGTATATGAATAAAGTAAAGTCCATTATAATTTTTTTTTCATAAACTGTTGCCAAACTACGACTTTTTATAATTTCAATGAGGAAATAATATACATAAAAATATATTAATATAAAAAAGTTTAAAAACAGCTTTTAAACATGTCGGAGATGAGCAAAATAGAAAAGAATTCAATAAAGTGATAAAAAAGTGAAGTTTTTCAATCGCTAATTCAAATTAATTTTATGTATCAAAACACATCATTCCTGAAAATATTAGTTTACCTATTGCATGGAAAAAACACAGTAGATTTTATTTGTAAAGATTGATTAGCAGCCTGGTATTCACCTCGTATAAGAGTATGTGTTATTTAACGAATGCCCAAGGCAGTCGCTTTATATTTTTTATCAAATTTGTCATAATTTATTCTTTCACAGCACAACACAACTAACTTTTAACTGACACGAAACAGCTCAAGTATAACACTACACCGCAGTACTTTTTCTTTCGCAGATGAAATAATGGTCGATTTGGCAACGTCGTGAACGCGGAAGTGACGACAACGATAGTTCAGTAGAATCACTAATTCAAACTATCTGAACTATTGCAATTTGAAAATTGTTATTCTTATAACTTTATGTATAAATATTAGAGATTACAAATAATATTAGTAACTGTAGTTATTAAGTAAATTAAAAATATTATATTTAATGCAAATATTTTTACTTAAATAGCATTTCATAAAATTTCGAGTAGTTACTTCCTGTCCGCCATGCTGCATCGAACACAACAACCAATATATTGTTAAGTAAAAATAATTCTATGTATTATATTTTATTCAATACAGGCAATTCAATTTTATATATATACTTTGAATTACACATATATTATAAATTACAAAAATTTAATCATTTATATTTGCACATAATAAAAAATATATAAATTATTTATTATTATTGTTCAATGAAAATTGTATGAAAAAAATATATTAATCAATTTTCAATATTCATTCATATGATATTGATTTTAGTAAAAATACATGAAATTCCAGAATACTATTTGAAGTTGAATAAATTTATTGCTGATGAAATTTTAAATATTTTTCATATTTATTTAAAAATTTCCGTTTGTTATTATTACTACATATGATACTAAATGAATGTCTAACTTTTTATCGAAACATATTTTTTATATTTTTATTGTTACATGTAATATAATTTGTAAATATTTATTTTCAAAAATATATTTTCAGAAATATTAGCTATAAAATTGCAAATATTGCAGTTTCGTTTCATAGTTAAAAGAATGCGTGAAAAGAGAAGAGGGCGAGTGAAAATTTTAATTTGTATAATATTAAAAAATCATTTTCCAACAAAATAATAGTAAAATAATAATAAATAATAAAATACTATATTATTATATAATATGATATTATTAATTATTATTTATATTGTTTTATTTTTTTTATAAATAGATATAAATGAAAAAAAATTTTTTAATATATTTATCGGAAGATAAAATTTTTTAATATATTTATCGGATATATATTTGATCGGAAGAAGTAATAGTAGACAACAGGAAAACACTTGTTAAAAAAAATGTTCGCATCGACTACAGGGGAATTATAAGAGTTATGACGCATTAAAAGAGGAAACCATTCAATGCAGGATGATGCACTGATTATAATATTACTGATTTTATCATATATATACATATATATATATATATATATACACACATATATGTATGTATAAACAATATATATAAATGCATTAATTTATTAGTTTATGATATTGTTACTAAATTATTAAATTAGTACATTACTAAATCATATGTTTCTTAGATTATAGATATCTTAGATTACAGACAAATATAATTATATTAGAATAATTATGCAATAATCATGCAATATCAGACTTGGTTAGACTTCGAGTTTGACTATTGAAACGTGAAAAGTATATAGCTAAAAAGTATAAGATAAGTATATAAACAAATCAATTATTATTAAATTATTAAAAATTGCAATTTGTTATCTAAATTCTAAATAATTTAGATATGTCTAACAATCATGCGAAAAAACATATTTGTACTAAAAATTCTTTAAATTTATAAAACAGAAATTAATTTTATCTTAAAATGTATTATTCTATTTATTTTTAATAATTAAATTGTCATATAATTGTTTATAAATTATTTTATAAATGGGTAATTCAAATAATTTTTTACATCAAAAAATTTATTACGTAAATTATATAAATTTTGTTCTTTTTTGATGTAATGTAATATAATATCGTTATTGTAACGAATAGATAATAAACAATGTTTCTCTCTCTTGTTTCTCTCAATGTTTATCGAATCTTGAATTTTCAATTGAATTACATTGACAGAATTATTTTTAATTCATTTTCAAATGTGAAAAATTATATTAATTATTATATATTGCTTTTGATCATTATAATTAATCGTTATAATATTTTTATGTTAGATTGTATAATTAAACTGTAATGATGAAAATATTTGCACAATATTTTGTATCGAATATTGAAAAAAAAATTTTCATATGTTCCAGAAAAAAAAATAAAAAATATGTTTTTAGTTAGATTTATACGTATAATTAATTTAAATAATATAAGTGTAATGATTCATTACATTTTAATCTATATATTTTAATTTTAATTACATTTTTATATATTTTAGGTATATTTTAGGTTATTATAACGAATAGATAGTAATAGTAATAGATATTTTATGCAAAAGGAAATTGATTAAAAATAATTATTATTAATTCGAAATTTTTTTGATTCTCACTTGTGAGCGTTTATATAAACTTGAAACTTCTATTTTCTTGTTTATTCTATATTCTATATTTTATATTTTATATTTTTCTTTTAGAATATAATTAGTTACAAAAGATGTTTTTTTTTTTTAAATATTTAAAAATATATACTATGTAATTCTAAAAATTTTTTCAACAGAGCTTGATATACTATTCGAGGTATTGTAATGTATCGGTAATGAAAAAATCAATATCGTTCCTTTGTTAAGAAATAAGTATTTGTATCAATGTATATATCAAGGATATATCATTTCAGTGAATGTTTTATCGTAAATATATTTTCTTGTATCTTTTAATTATATTTTTTGTATTGTTTATGAAAATTATTATTTCAGAATTGAAAATATTTATTTTTATTATATGAGATTTATAATTTATAATTTATGATTTATAATTTATTTTGACTAATACAAATTTTTTTGCATTTTTTATTCTTACAATTTATCATGTGTCAAAGTTTAAAATTTATTTATTGTATATGTGATAAATTGAATGAGTTCAACTTTATATAATAATACTGCTTTGCTTAAAGTTTTTTGAGAAAATATAGATTCACAAAATGTATTCTTGAAAACATTTTAACTTAAAAGATTTTTAGATAAAAAGGAACTATAAATTACAAGAAATACATTATAAATAAAAGTAAATATTATAGAAGTTATATTTTTTAAACAATATGTTTTATATTTATATTATATTTATATTTTATTCCATAAAGAACTATTATAAAAATTATAAGTGATTATATTAAAAATTATATTATATTACTAGAATGTAAAAATATAGAATTTTATTTTTTGTAAAATAGAAAAATATTGACATATTGAACATTATTATGAATTAACCTATAGATGTACAAATACTTATTTTTCGTTTATCATATTTTTTCTATTTGTCATATTTTTTCTCTTTATTTTAACATTTTTAATTCATTTGAAATTAAAAATTACAATTTTTGTTTTATTTATCATACATAAACAATCCCTGAAATAAGTTTTTCAATGTATAAAATATCATACATTTTCAATGTATAAAGTAATTCAATGACAATAAAAAACAATAAATGTGCAATAAATGTCACACAAAGTCTACAAAAATAATCTATGTTTGTAATGTTATTATACTGAATAAAAATATCTCATGTTTTTAGATTTATTTTTATTTTTTAAACACAAATTCTTAGCGAAAAGAATAAAAGGAATATTAATAGTGATTTTTCTATGAATCTCTGTATAAATTATGTATTTGGCTGCAAAGTAACAATTTTTTAAAAATAAATATTTTAAAATAGAATTACATTTATATAACTTAAGTATAATTTGGACACAATTCAATGTCTTATTCAATCTTTCTTAGCTATCATGAGTATCTATTTTGTATCTTTTCTTGCTGTTTATTAAAATTACTATTATACTATATATAAATATATAAATTATATAATTTTAATTTAAAATTTATTTTATAAACGATATTTTATTAAATAGTTAAATATGTTGTTTTTTAAAATTCTATGATTCAATTTTTAATAAAATTTATTTATTATGAAACATAAAGTGAAAAATATTTACAGAAAGTTTTAATATATACAATTTTGACTTGGAGATTACAAAAATGATTTTTGACTATACGAAATATCAAACTGATTGAATTTTTATATATTGAAAAGAAAAATAGAAAAAGACAGTCTAAAGTTAACTGAATATATAATGATCAATCTTTGTGAAAGTCATGCTATATCATTTATCGATCTGTCTATATCGTAGATAGTGGTGCACTCTTAACAAAGATGTAAAAAAAGACGCTCAAGGAAACAAAACTATGGTATGCGGCTATTGTAATACCATTGTTCTATTACGATTGACACAGATATATGTACATTGTACTCGTAATTGTGTGTATATTTATTTTTTTTATTATCTTAATAATATTCCATGCAATTGCATAAATAAAAAAATTTTCATAAACACTGCGTATTTTATAAATAAATGTTAAAAATATTTTCTACTTATATTCTCATTTTATTGCATTTAAAAAGATTAAAATTATAAACAATTACATTTAATTAAATATCTCTACATAAATTGATGTATTATCTAAATTCTAATAAGTTTCTTTTTATTGATTATACTTAATTATAAGTTATAAATCTTCTTATTATTTATATTATATATTCTTTTAATTATATATATTATTTTATTTTTAGAAATACGCTATTTGTTTGTAATTTTCTTTGAATTGTTTATCGAGTTTTAAAATTAGAGAATAAAGCAAGCATAAAATGCAAGCATATAATGTTATTTTGATGAAAATTTTTTTATATAGTATACAATATTATAATTCTTTTTTATATAGTATATAATATTATAATTATTGTATAATATTTGCACATATGATATAATTGTATATTCCTTTGCAGAATACAATCAATTCGCAGAAAAATAATGAGAAAATTATAAAAAAATTATACTTATATTTATACTTATATTTATATTCAACAAATATAAATTAAATATTACGAATTTAATTATTATTATTATTTCTATGATTAATTAAAATAAGTGATAATAATATTTTATTTTTAACATATTGGAAATTATTGAAATTCTTAGAATAATTTAAAACCAAGAAAGTTAATTTGTAATCGTTAATTAACTATTTGCTAACTATATAATTACTATTTTATTATTACAAAAAATTTATTTCGTTATTTAATAATTAAAAGAAAAAAACTAAAAAATAAAATATATATAAAATTCAAAATCTAGATAGAAAAAATTTATCTCATTCATCATTAGAAAATTTATACTTATAATTGAATCATTAAATTATTAAAATTATTATTTAATTTTATTATTATTTAATATCGAAATGTTGTAATATTATTACAAACATTTATTGTTTATAAAAACAAAATTATTGTTTGTAAAAACAAAAAAGTTTTTTTTTCAATTATTCCAAATTTCTTAATAAAATTTCAGTTGATTTATTGTATTTGCATTGAATTTGGTTAGATAATATAAAGCATACAGCATATTTCTTTAGAAATATTTATTTCGATTGTTATTTTTCAACAGAATCTCAAGGCAAACCTACCAGAAAAAGCGTAAAAAAAAAAACAAGCATGAGTTACGATGATAAGCGACGAAACGATAAAAAAAAAAGTATTCACTCATAAAAATAAGATAGTGTATAATTTTTAACTATTAATGATATATTATTCAATTATTTTATTAAATAATAAATTTATTAAATAAAATTTTAATCAATGTTCTTTAAATATGATAATATAGATAATATTGAAAATAACCGTGATTATTCTAAATTATGATTGTTGCAAGTATACTTACACAATGTAACAATTTTTTATCGTGATAAATTGATTTAATGGCTTGCAGTTGAGTCATCAAATTTATCGATCGTAGACTTTCGTTTTAATGTAAAAGGATTCACGATTTTGTTGTACGGTTTCGCGTATGGTTTCGTAATGATGAAAAAGAAACAATCTAATAAAAATTAAATCAGATTATAGGTATTGAAATCATTTTAACAATGAAAAATACATTAGTTAAAATAATTAATTTTATGATTTATTGTTAATACTTAATAAAGCATATATTTGTATGTGCATCTTGAATCGATTTTTATTTCATAACCAAGGAAATGTATTATAAATATTATAAATATGATTTATTTAAAATATACGTAAATTATGATATGCAATAAGTAGAAATCGATTCATCATTTACAATCGATAAAAAGTCAATTACTTATTTTATTATTTAATTTTAATGTAAAACATAGATAATTAGCAGTGGGAATATATTTTTTGGAACACACCTTGAAAACAAATTGATGCATTAGATAATATATCACGTATCAGAAAGCAAATATTGGGAAATATTTTTGCAGTTTTAATAATTTTTGCAATGATAGCGTTAATAAAATATAATAACGTATGAATCTACTCACTAATATTTGTCACGTGCACTGTATCACGCTTTTCGTTTGATAGATATCATAGCAGATAAACTAACTATAAAAAGTAGCTACACGCTGTTTCACAGACGAATATGTAACGTATACACACATTGCAACGATAAAGCTTCTATAAATATTACGAACACAATCATAAGCAAGCAACAAAGATAGAGAAAGAAAAAGAAAGAGAAAAGATATAAATCGTCGAAACAACACGTAACCTTTACTGCCGTCGAAATACTACTGACTGCAGCGTCGGGTTTCAATCAGGTTATGCAAACCCTACAAACCCCCACTTTTCTTTTCCTCTTGTATACCTACGCACGTGATTCTTCAATGTGTTCCACATTTATTGTATATACATATGCACTGTCTAGACACGTCATATAACTCATGTAGATCAACGCAACATTTTGTAAAAATTAAGATATATGTAAAATATTTTATATATATATTTTTTAATTTTAATTGTTTTTAATTTTATATTTATTCTAATTTCACATTTATTATAATAAAATTATATGTAAAAAATTATAATTTTTATTAAAGTATTTGTAATAAATATGTATATTATTTATTTATATATTTATATATTTTAATTAATTTTTTTAAATTAATTTTAATTAATTATATATTTTAAAATAATATTCTAATATTAATATATTGAAAAAGAATATTGATGATTAATATTAATGAATATTTAATTAAAATTAATAATGAAATATTAAAATATAAATATATTTTTAAATATTTATATATTTTATGATGAAGAATTATTTTTAATATGGAATGTTTCAAGAAATTATTGAAATTTCTTTGTTCGAGTATAATTGTACTTAGCTGTAATATGCGTTTATATGAATAATATTTAATATCAATAATTAATTATGTATAATTGAACAATCATTATTTTATAAAATTATTTCATCCTTTTATAATTTTATGAATTTCATTATTTCATTATTTTAAGATAGAAAATTAATTAATTTTTATAATTACGTATTTATAAGTTGATATATGTGAAACAGAAATAATTATTATCTCTCATGTTCTTGTCTTCTATAAAATTGATATATATATATATATAAAATTGGTACTTAAGAAGTATATATTATATATATATAATACAGATTTTTGAAAATAAATTCATAAGATTATAAATTATTCAAATGTTCAATTTTAAATACACAGACTTAAGTTTCGATTTTTATTTATCTATATACTTATTTCATATTTATGAATATTACAATATGTGAATTTTTATTTTATTTACATCATTATATGATAATAAAGCAAATTTTGTTTTATTGTTATTTTAAATATTTATTACTCAAGAAATAATAAAATAAATTTAATCAAATATGAAAATAATACATCTGATTAATCATAATAGCAATCTTTTTGAAAAAATTTTTTAAAAATCTATTTTTTTGAGATTTTTTTCAGATAAGTTTTAAAATAAAAGATAAAATAAAAATTCTTTAACTCACAGTCAAAAGGAAACTTCTCTATCATCAAATTTACTGAATAAATTTATATTATTGAAATATTTGCAATAAATATGATTTAGAATATCTTGACAAACAATATTTATAGATATAATATTTATGTATTATTTTATAGATGAATTCTCTTTCGTAAATTCATTTCTAAAATCATTTTATCATTAGATATTTTGTTGTGCGACAATAATAAATTTATTTGTAAATAAGTTGAATGAAATAAAGAAGTCAAGTTTATATTCGAAATTAATCTTTTCTGTAATATAATATTATAATATTATATATATAATATGATATATAAATATAGAGTTTAAAGTATCATGATTATAAGTTAATGATTTACGTATAGCTATGTGACGTCTATTATATTACCATAACGAATAGAATGTCATAAATATGTAATACATTGCAATGAATATAGTAAAATAAATAATAAAGTATAAAATTATTTTAAAAAAAATTTGTTCATCATTACTCAGTTTCTAATATGAATTTATTCGTTAATTTTAATCTAAATTAATCTAAGTTTTTTTTTTAATTATTGGTACTTAAGAAGTATAATAAATAGGATTTAATATATTATAATAATAAGATTATCAATTATCTAAAATTAATTAATCACTTTTACGATTATTATGCGATCGTAAAATAAATATTAAAAATTTCATAAATAAAGGAATGCTCAAAATTAAATCACCGTTAATTATTTAACGATCTAAAAATATTAATTTCTTCACTTTAGAGAAATAAAGAATTAAATAAAAATTATTGATTTTATAAAAATATGCAATTTTAAGTATTTATCTTTATATTACAAAATTATTTGTAATGTTTAATTCATAAGAAAGAAATAATTTAAAATAATAGATTGTGAAATTTTAATATTATACTGAATTAATCAAAAAACATGATTATAATCAAATTTATTAAATTTATTAAAAAATTTTTTTTTAAAAAACTTTTCTGCTCAAGAATAACAATAAAATCAATTTTATTAGTACTTTTGCTATTTCTTCATAACAAAGAGAAAATGAAAAGTTTTTTATTTATCTTTATCTCTTTATCTTAACTTTATTTTTTTTAATCTAGTCCGATGATTTGACAAAGACTTTATTACAATATATAATATGTATAATATATAATAGAGAAATAGAGAGTTTAATATTGAACAAATAAGATAATACTTATCAAGGCCACTAAAAGATATTAGATGGCGAGAAAACAAAGATAACGGGATGATATCTGGGAGTGAGATTGTTAAATTATCATTATAAATTGGTGAAAAATATATACAAGATAACTAATCAATGTACTTGTTCCGGTTCAACATAAATTGTAAATTTTAGTTTTGAGATTTATATTAATTAGATTATTTTGATATAATAAATATTCTGTCTGTTGTTTTATCATTTATTTGATAACTTCAGGTACAATAGTCACTATATTTTAATTAATATAAAAATATTCTTGATTATAAATGTTATAGGAGATTGAATAATTTTTACAAATCAAAATTAAAATTCTATTTTTATGTAATACATAATTTTTCTTATATATAATATTTCATATATTTATATATATATACATATATATTATATATATACATATATGTAAATATATGTATATATATATTATTATATATTAATCTATAGAAATGAAAAATAAATCACAGAATGTTTATTTAAAACGAGAATAAAAGAATTTAATATTTGAAAAATAATTTCAAAATTATTTTCGATGGATTTCTAAAATTCATTATAATACGTATACTTTGTACAAATAATGAGATCTTATTTGTTGCTTGAGTAGAAACATATATCTTAAAGCTAAATGTTTAGCTTTCTAGTCTTTCATGATAACTTATCTTAATCAGTCGTTTCAACTGAAAATTTATGTTTACATATACTTCATGTAAAGTTCAAAATATAATACAATACTTAAAATATAATACTTATACACACACACACACATATATATATATATATATGTACAATATTTAAATATATTTTACTATGTACTTATTCAATGTTTTTTTTTGTTTTTAAAACCATATTTACAATTTATAATGATATTTAATATTTTATATTTATTTCTTTTTATATATTTATATGTTTTAAAAAAGCATAATCATAAATTTGATTTTATATTTATGCAACATTTAGAAAAATATGTAATATATAATTTATTAGTTTATATTTGGCAACAAGATTATATAATTACAAACATTTTTTATTTTCCTGCTCAACAAATAAATATAAAAAGATATTGTTTCAATATGCATCTTTGATAATAATTCCATATATAGGTTTAAAATGTAAATAATTCCAATGATTATTTTAACAACGTAATGATCCAGTATATAAGGATAATAAAAATCTGAATAATAATTTTTTTTTGCGAAATAAAAAATTAATTAAATAAATTTTGTTTTAAGAATAAAGAAAAATAATAAATTTTTCTATAAAATTTTAAAATGCAGTAATATATAATACATTTAAAATAATACATTTAAAATTATTATTATTTTTCTTATTAATATTTTTTCGATATTTTTACGATGAAATTTTTTCGCGAAAAATAAAGTAAATAATGCTATGATTTCTATTGAGATATCTTTTTGTCAAGTAGTTCTCACATTGCTGCAATCATATAAAGCTCAACATCTCATGTTTTATCAATTCACAACATTTTATTGCCACTTTTTATGTTTTTCTATTTAAAATATGAGTTCAATTTCTCAATACCTCACATCTGTTGTAAATAACAATAATGCGTATATATATATATATATATCTTTTAACATTATAATTTTATATAACTTGTGAATTATAATTCAGTCGTAGCCACTCCCCAATATTGTTGCATTCTCGTTGCGTCTTGCTCTAATGAGTCCAACCCATTTCTTTCTTGAATTACGGCAAAATCATACTCAAGATTATATGGCATCAACCTCTGTAAGCTGCCAAAATAAGCCGCATTTGGACCTCCGTTAAGTAATCTTCTTCCGCTACCAAATCGAACAATGGGTGGTCTTGATAGAGAAGGATTAAAGGATCTGGCACTTCCAAACCTCTTCGATAGAAAAGGCAAATTGCCAGCTAATTGAGGCGTGGATCTCGATTGACCTCGTCGTAGTGGAGTCTTCGTTAAAGTGTCTAATTCCTTGTCGAACAAGAGCTGAGTATTTTGCTCCAGCATATATTCCCAGCAACGAAATTGCTCTTCGCTCAAAGCGCCAGATCTCTCGGATATAGTGTCTTCTTGAGCCGTCAAAGTAGTTGATATCTTCATTTTTTTATGTAGTATAAGATAATTTATTTATAAATAGAATAAATGTGTTTATGTATTATCAAAGAAATTTAATGTGAATGTAGTAATTTATTATGAGTCATTGATTTATTGTTTCGAACGTGTAAAAGGCTTGAATATTCGAGATTAAAATACATAGTCACTAGAGATCTTGAGTGACCGGATAAGCTCTTAAGAATTTTACATGATTTATTTAACGAGTGAAAGAAAATGTAAAACAGAGAAAGAGAGAACAATGGATTTTAAAATTTACAATTATTCACATTAAAATTCGGATATCATATTTATTTCAATATTTGTTATTTTGGATACGAAATAATTATTTCAATATTATTGAAAGCTTGAATTGTTTCTTGTAATTGATATCAATACGTAAACAATTTTTTCTTAATAATGATTTGTTTTTAAATAAACAGAAAATTTTAAATAAATACTTTATATATATACATATATACATATATTGGAAACTATTATTTATGTAGTGAATTCAAGAAAAAATAATTTAACAAATTAAAATTTTTATTTACCTTTCTTGTACTGTTTTCGTTCACAAGAACACTTTGACGAGCTTTGTTCGTGGCTCTAGAAGCGGCACTTCCAGACCAAACTCTACCAGAAGGATATCTCGACTTTAAAGTACTATCACTAGCTTGGTCTGATTGACCACTTGGTGAACTTCTATCATCTTTGTATGACGGACTTTCATTTTGCGTTGATCGATGGTTTTTAAAATATCTACCGGACCCATTGTGAGCTTTGTTTGATCTATATCATTTAAAATTATTTAAAAAATTTTTCATTTAAATATATAATATTTTCTAAAAAAAAAAAATGATCTCAAGCCTATTTCAATTGTATTACCAATTCTCTTTTAATTCCATTATACACTTTATACAATTTTTATTACATAATTTCATGTGGACTTCTTACCTATTTACTATGCTTTTTAACACGCCATTCAAATAATAGCCTTCGTTCGCGTGACAACAGCAAGGTCCCGGTGGTTTATGAGCTGCCGGAGGCATGCAACAAGGACAAGGACATCCTGTCTCAGTTTGACCTCTATTCTTTCCAACAGCATGTCTCAATTCCCTCATCAACTGATCTAAATCACCCTGATTAGGTCCCGTTAGTCGTACAACTACAATGCTCAAATTATCCTCTGCTCCATAAGCTTGTGCCAGATCTTGAAGCCTTTTAGCGGCTAAAACAGGACTGGCCTCCGCTCTGGCTTCTCGAACGGCTTCCTGAATGCTCAGTACCTCCCATAATTTTTTATTACCAATTATAATAAATTCATCGTCATCCTCTAAATCTACCTCTTCGAATATAGGGTCGGGAACAACAAGAGGAAACATAGCTGCGTTTCCTAATTGATTCTTCATAGATAGCTTCTTAGGTGCCAAAATTAATGGACCAGCTGCTCTGCAGAGAACTGCTTTTGCGTCTCCAGAAGTGGCTACCTTTAACGAATATTTCGTTGGTGCTTTCGGATATCCTTGTTGCAATTGTATTCTAACAATATGCACAAGAGTTGCATCAATCCCGTATTTCTGACCCTTATCTTTCAACTCCCTATGGGCAGATAGTAACGTATATTTTAAGTATTCCTTTGACGTCTCTCGAACGGTTCTCTCCTCTAATAAAAGGCGCGGAATCATTTCCTGGAGTGCGCTCGGTGCTTCTTGATTCGAACCGCCATCGAATATACCAAATAGGCCTTCTACGTTGCAAAATGATGGCATCCGAATTTGGGATACGTACAATCTGCGCATATAAATTATCTGATCACAATTTGAACCGAGTTTTAAAATTTGGAAAATTTTTATTTTCTTTGTTGTATTATAGGAACGTCTAAAATTTATGGCATAATAAAACTAAGAATTAATGTGAAAAAAAATTTATAAATCTAACCTTTCTCTACATCCTGCTGTTTCTGAAAATCCTAATCTCCAAGGTTGTTCCAAACCTTTTTCCGAGGAAATAATTTCTTGTTGATGAGGGTGCGAAGGCAGACTTGGTCTATTCTGTCCAGATACATCGACTAATGATATTGGTCGTTGAGACCTATATACCTGGAATTGTCTAGGATCTACGTGAAGTCTTGAATTGCAAGATATATCGAGAAATTGAAGTTGTGGTGGCACCAGAGTAGCTAAATTTACTCTATCTAATTGATTATGAGCTAAGTCCAATACCTATATATAAAAAGTAATTATTTAATTGACATTAAATATTAAATTTACTATTACTGAGATTAAATAAATACCCATATATATTTTTACATAATATATTAATAATTTTAATAATAGAATTACTTTTAACGATGCTGTTTTATTAAATGTTGGACAAGTCAAGAGTCGATTAGAATGGACACGCAATACACGTAAATGTCGTAAATTGGCCACATTATCTGGCAGATATTGAAGACGATTTCCAGATAATATTAATTCTTCTAGATCTTTCCATGAAGCTATACAACTATAAATCAATAGTCTTTTAATTTTCAATTTTATTATAAAATATTAAAATAATAATAAAAGTTAAGCAAATTCTATACCTTTCTGAAAGCGTATCTAAAGTATTGTAAGCTATATGAAGAACTCTTAAAGATGTAAATTTTGCAAGAGCATCCAAAGCAGTATCTGTTAAACAATTCGCAGTGAGATATAATTTCTCCAAGCTGTGATTGTTATGTCGATTTTTATTTCCTTCTCCAAAGTGTGGAAGTTCTGACAATCGATTGTTGGAAAGATTCAACACTTTCATCCTATAGAATGGAATTATAATAGAAAATAGAAAACTAATCTTTCTTCTTTTAATAAAATATAAATATCTAAAAAAATATTATTATTTTTGTTATTAATATTAATGTTTCTAGTTTTTATTTTCAAAAAATATTATTTCTTAGTATATGCTATATCATCCTGTATATCATATTGTGTCGAGGAAATTAAACTATTCGCGTACTTTTCCGTGTTGATGAAAAAACTCGTTGGTAATGCTGTCAGTGCATTGTCTTGCAGCGTCAAATGAACGATGTTTAGTGGTTTCCTAGGTGGCGGAAGAGCTTGCAGTCTATTGTGGGGTAAGTGAAGAACTTCCAGTCTCGACGGTTGTGTTAGTAATCTGTCTGGAAGGGCTGTTAAAGCGTTGTGAGACGCAAAAAGTGCGCGCAACAAAGGTAGATCTGGTATCCATTCCGGAAGTGCGTCTAAATTGTTACTAAAATAAATTTATGTAAAATCATAATGTTAATAATTTATATTTAAATCAGATAAATATGCTTCAATGATTAATAATATGAAAATATGAATATGTTATATCGTACATATATTTTTTAAAACTTTGGATTTAAAAAATAGATTTCTAATACATCTTACGTGTAACTATGTAACTTGTAATTATATTTAATTCTTTAATTAAATTCAAAACTATGTAATGAAATATATCAAACTTAAGAAGCACATCACAGTTGTGTTACAATGTAATTATGTTGAAAATTATTTAATATTATTATTATATATAATATTATTATTTAATAGTATTACTTTATGTATTTATTACTTTATTTTTACTTACTAAGAAACATCTAGATGTTCAAGATTCACAGGCACTGGCTCGATAGTTAATTTTTTTAATTCTGCAATATGATAAAATAGTTTTCAAATAAAAATTTTTTATGTCCATATATAATACATATATTTATACATATATGGTAAGAAAAATAAAAAAGATCTTACTGTTGTTTCCAGCAATAAGAGAAACAATATTTTTTCCGCAGACTGTCAGTTCTGTTAAAATATTTCGCGCGCAACGAACACTTCTCAATTCTTGAAGAGCACTGATGTCCAATTTCTCAATGCTATTTTCACTGACGTCTAGATGCGTTAAATTCTTGATTAAAGAAGAAATAAAAACATTAACGATCGTTAATCATTTAATATTTTTAAATATAATTGTAATTATGAATATATTTATGAAGCACTTACACCGTAATTTCCAAGTATGATGTTTCCTTTTAATTGATTATTTCGAAGATTCACTTTGTACAAATTATTTTGATTCTTATCATCTTTACAACCTTTGTTATAGTCTGTTTTTGATAATACGTCCTAAAAATATTGTAAAAATTAATTTTCTAATAAATATAAATAATATAAATATAATTTATAATATTATTAAAAAAATAAATTAAATTAAATTTTTAATTTAAGATTGTTAATAATTATTATTAATATTATAATTAATATTATTATTAATCAAAATAGATTTATTTAAGTCTTATACATATATATAATGTAATCGTATACTATATGTAATAGTATACTATATCTACAAACACTAGTACCTTATTCGACCGCTAGATGGCAAACTATTCGAATGAGTTTCTCGAAACTAAAATATATTCAGAGGTATATATAAAGATGTTTGAAAATACGAATCGGTACTCTGGTTTCCCTTCAAATCACGCATAAATCTTTCGCCTTTTACTAAAGATTTCCGTGGAGGGGAACAATTGATGAGTCTATAGACTAATTTTTTGTGTACCCGGCGCAAGCTGGGTCATTAATAAAATAAAACATAATTAGTAATTTATGTTTAACATTCGTATGCAAGTTTTAAAATATTGTTAAAGTAACAATATTTAATATATACTTATATTACGTACAGAAATTATATATTATTAAATATTTTTTAGCAGATATGATTGTAAATTTTAATTTACTTTGAAAATTTAAAATATTTTGTCAAGTTATCTTTATTTATTATATATTATTTATTATATTATATATTTATTATTTATTATATATTAATATCATGTATGTAACATGAATTAAGATTATTGCTCAAAATTGATAACTTTTTTATTATTTTCCAATTGAATAATCTTTAAGAAATTTTTCATTATCATTAATTTTATATATATATATATATATATATATTTTGTATCAGTTTTTATTAAATATTTTTATTGATCTTTAACAAACATAAAATTTGATAAGATTTTAATTTTATAACAATAAAAAATAAAATTTTATCAAATTCTAAATATCATATCGATTTGATTTCTAATACAAGTTTTTTTTTCTTTGAATTTAATTATTTGGAATAGTTGTTTGATTCATTGACCTGGAATTAATATATCAGTTGCAACATGAATTACCACATCGCATCGTTCTATGGTTATTCATCGTAACGGTACTTCTGCGCGAATTTTGAATTATAAAATATTGTTAATAATTTTGTGAAACGTTACCGTTAACGCTAGGGCACGCATGTTGAAGAAAGATGGCAAACTGGTGAGGCAATTTCCAGATAAAGAAACGTTTCTCAAGTTCTTCAACTCGATGAATTCATATGGCAGCTCTTTGATTCCATTACGATCCAATATGAGCTCTTTGAGGCTGTGAACAATTATTTTTACTGATTTTGGTGTTTTATTATTATTATATATATTATATATATTATTATATATATATTGTTATAATATTTTTTTAAATGAAATAGTATTTTAAAAATTAATAGTTTAATTTATAATTTTTTATAAAATATTTTATAAATAACTTAACTTATAAAAATTTCAACAAAATTAAAATCTCTACTACTTTTTTTATCAACATATTGCATGGCATTTCTCATTTTTAGTTTGACTGTAGTTAATCGACATAAATTAACATTACAGTTACAGCGATTCGATGTCAATGCACGTTGCACCCTCGTTGCACGGACAAACGAATCGGTGAACCTAAACGAGCGGGCCGCCTACAGGATGTGCACTTGAGTAGAAAGTTTCAAATTATGGTGAAAACCTTCCTGGCAGTAAGCATTTGTGTCATCGAATAGACTTTCAGTTTTTAAAATAAAATCGAAATTATTGCTGTTTTAGACAATAAAGATAAGTTAAATTAGATATAATTCATTAATTGATTAATTTATGAAACTAATCAATTTATTTGTAAAATTAATTAATGTTACGTATTTGAAAATTGTATTTGAAAGTTTAAAAAAAATTCTTCTTTTTTTTTGTTTCTTTTTTTTGCTTTTTTAAAAGAATTGTATTAAATATTGTATTAAAAAAAAAATTGAGACCAAGATTTTTATATTAATATAATTTTATATCTAATTTATTACTTTATTTTTGTATTTAGCTGCTATTTTTTTTATTCTTTTATTGTATCAAAATATCACTTTATATTCTCTTTGTATCTTTTTGTTTACTTTATCAGCACGCACTTATTTCCAAAGGAGACAGTCATTTTTCGTCACCTACTTCATCATTACTTATTCTTCGCCTGATGCTTAAGAAAACGTGGAATGTGTCTAAAGATCTAGAGCATCCTTTTCAGCACTCTCTAATGAATAACTGAAATACTCTATTCTTCAGAAAATATTTTTTGCGTTTTTTAAATTTCTTGTTATATATTATAAAAAGCTTAAAAATTTATTGAAATATAGTTTATCTCGTGTCATTCCTAAATAAAGTTCTTTCACGTCATTTTAATAATTCAATTTCATTAATTCGTTATTTAAACTATATAATATAAAAACTATATAATAAAATTGATAAAATAAAACATTACAAAACAATGTAAATTCAATGTTTCAACTCCATTAAATTCTTTAATAGAATTGGATATCGTCTAGATCATTTACTGTCTTTTTAAACAATTTATTGATCTTTTACTGCTTAGACTTGTTCCATTCTATTGTATCAATGTATGATTAGCGAATTCTAGAATCTTAAAATTCTTAATAAAGTTTTTTCAACTTGAAAATTATAATTGTCGTATTAAATAAAGAGATGGGGACAATAAAATATATACATTTCATTATTCCAATAAATGTTCACAAATAACTTAATAATAAACTCTTCAACATTAGTAACTTTATTAACACTACAATTTTTTTAAAAAATAGTCCATTTAATAATTTTCCACTTCAATTACAATAGTACCATACTATTTTCAAATATCATTTTATATGATATTATTTTTTTCAAATATTATTCCAAATTGCCTCAGACAATTTTCAACACTAATAAAATCTTCCAAATCTTTTTTCTCTACAATACCAGCATTACAATAATAATATTATAACTGATTTCTTCAATATAATACTCAAATATTACCCTCACAATTTCAGGAAACTTCTTGAACGAGTTCCTTAACAGAATTCCATCAAACAACTCATATTCAATATATTCTTCCAATAAACCCACTGCATAATTTTCTTTAATGTGGTCACCAATATAGCAGAGTGTTTTGAATATCCGCTTCAGCTTCACACTCAAACGATTTTCAGTTAAATAGTTGAACAGTTTCTTCCACAGGGACTGTGCAAACGTCACTCTGCCAGCCGTCAATAGTTCAGGATACCATAGGATTGTGAAGTTACAAGTTGGTGCACGCTCACGCGAGTTCTTCAGGATACTAAGAAGTCCGTTACGAGTCGAAGCGTGTCCAAGCAGTTCCTGCATCGAAGAAGAAAGAGGGAGGAGATCAAGGATGGCTTGGCTGACCACTGTGACGTAACAGAAAGGAAAGATTAGCTTTTGCCAGTGGTGTAAGTTGGTTTATGCTGATTTCTGGCCTGCTTGTGTACCAGCAACCAGCGATTGGTTCCTGGTTAACGGAGTTGGAAGGAGGTATGTATGTACCTTGATGACCTGGTTTCGTTGCACAGAAGTTGGAAACTCCTTCGAAAGCTTCGATTTACTGGCAATATAATAACAATGCTTGGTTTTTGGGGTAAGAGGAGGAACTACTAGGTTGAATAATCGAGACACGAGAAAGCAAAGTTGAGGAAGAACTGTGTCTGTTTATAGATAGATTCAAACATGCAAACATCTGTTTATTATTTGTCTTTTTACGTATTAAATTATTCTTTCTACTTTGTAGATTCCTTTTACTTTCACTCTGAGATAATATATATATATAGTTACATGAAACGTTTTGCGAAATAATTCTTACCATTACAATAATTCTAATTTTCTTCATGGAATCAAGGATATCTTTTCCTTTTCAATTTTCTTTTAAATCCAAGATACTTTTTTTATTTCCATCGATACAATTGTCACCGTTTCTTCCCCAATAAATTAACAAGAATTTAAAAAGAAGAAAAAGAACAAAAACTTGGGTTTCAAGAAAAAAAATATTCAATTCATATTCATAAAAATATTCATTGCTTGGCGGCAATGCTTTTCAATCTGCGATCTTCACCATCTTCTGCGATCGCACATCCACGCATAACTGGAAGAACAACTGAAGCAACGAGGCTTACTTCTCTCGATCTCGACGTTTGATCGGGAAGCAATTGCACGGTTCCACTGTTTGATCGGCATTGCATTGTTCCTCGTGAAGTGTGGCTCGTTCGCAGGGAAAAAGGAATCCAGTGATAAGGAGCTTTTAAATTGCGCTTCTCGCGAATGGCTCTGTGTTTCCTCGGAGTTGGGAAACTCGAAGAAGATTCTTCTTTAAGATCTCCTCCTCGTTGCTACGGCCTCCAAGAGACCGCGTTGAATATTTTAAACGGTTCTTTCTTTCGCCCCTTCGGGGGGAACGGCCTGTTGGTCCTTTTGGCCATCCTCTTTCTCTTTTTTCTCATTCTTCTTTCTTTTTATTCTCCATCGTATAACGCGTAATTGCGCCTTTCGTAGGATTTTAGCTTCCTCTCGTTTCACAACTCGAAGAATTATCGAGGATAATTTTCATGAGAATGGATGATGAATCGGTGAATGATGAAATTATGCGAAGATTCGAGAAACACTCTTTCGTTTCCCCCCTTTCTTTGGATGATATTTTTGACACGTAGAGGAGAATGGCGAAGAATTCTTTTGTCCGTAAATTTTGTCCGCATTTCGATTGTCAAAATTTGAAAATTAATTTTCTTCCTCTGCAACGAAGAAATTATCGGAGAAAACTATTTTTTTAAAAGATTTTTTTATACACTTATGCGTGGCACTTTATAAAGAATTCTATTTTATATTTCAATCTTTCTTTTCTCTTTTTTTTATTAATTTTTTAAATTTGTTAAAGACGAAATGTTCGCGTGTTTGGTATCCATTCCAAGATGTTATACCGTTAAATTAACGTCAAAATTATACCGTTAATTATGATAAAGAAGGAAAATAAAACATTTGCCAAGATTATGTTATAGAAATATTATACGCTATTATGAAACAAGAATTTTTTCTTATTTTCTTCTACTAATCTATTTCTGCAATTTTTACAGAAAAATAATTACAAAATAATTATCAAGTTATTGAACAACGGGATAAATTTTTTTTTTTTATCGTTTATAATTACTCGGGAAATGCAATGCAGAACATTGCTTCATTTATTTTACGCAATGCATCACGTACAGTTTTAATCGTACCAAGGAATTCCTCTTTCACTTATGAATAATGAACGAGTTCGTTCACATTTGGTAAAAGCGGTTAACGTAATAAGCGATTCTATCCTTTAATATCCGTAAAGTATATATCTTTAAAAGTGTAATTGTAATAAATAATCGATGTTGAGTATAAATTGAATTCGATCCTTTTTTTTCAAATTTTGATTTGAATTTTGATCTGCCATTTTCCATTTGATTAACATCTCGATAGTAAACTATTGGTCAATGTAATTTTAATTATGACGAATAAAATTCTTAGAATACATTAATGAGAAACACATTAACACGATTAAAAACATTTTAAAATTCATCTCAATAGAATTTTCTGAACGTGGAATGCATGGAATTACTATTTTTATTATTGCAGCAAGTTTAATATGACATACTTTTTATATAAAAACTAGAAAAAAATCGTAAATTCTATTATTCAATGTTTTTTTATTCTATTCTTATTCCCTCTTAAATATTCTACATCGCATTTTTTATAGAAGAATAATCTTTAGAAGAGTTTAAGAATATTAAATTGTCCTATTATATAACTCAACTTCATTTATATATCTAGTTAAATAGTTTCACTTCGTTTTTCCTCGCAATAATTTAGCCAAATCATATGATTACAGCGAGGAGGAAATAAAACAGTATAAGGTTAGGAAGGGGAATCGGTATCATTATCATTAATTGATGACACGTGCACAAATTTCAAGGTTCAAGTTTTGTAATTGTGTGCAATTATGATTAAAATTTATTTGAACAATGATAAGTATAATTACGAATAAATTTATAAAAAATTTTAGATACATATATAATTTTTTTTTTATCAAATATTGCAATTAAATAATAATTTATGCTCTCTTCAATATAACAACTATCTAAAATATCTTATTTATTTCCTATCAATTTCACCACCTAATTAAAAGAATATCTAAACAGTAGAAACTACAATAAAAAATTCCTCCTTATTAACGCTAGAACAACCAAACAACCAAAAACCGTAAAAAAATGATTTCACATTTTCTTGTTTTATTTTCAATTATTTAGATACAAACGTAATTACACGTATCTATTTATTTTCACGACATTACTTTAATTACTTAATCATTTGCAATATACAATAGATATCCAAATATTTATAGATACTGTTTAAATATGGCAATAATCCAAAATCTCTTTCATGATCCATAACGATTATTACTTAATCGGACAAAAATAATAACCTCATTTATCTCCATTCCATAAATTAATTGATCCAAGTGGATCATCGAAGATCGTTATTTCGAAAAACTGCAATTCCCCCATAATTAACGCGCTAATTATTACGCGCATTTATCGAGGGACGCAACGTTATTTTCTTTATTAATCCATCATCGTGCCTCGTGCCCGATGACACGAAATTCGAATCATCATCCTCCACATTTCATATCGCATTTCAACCCAGAGCCAGAAGCAAATACGGCCAGCCGATTATTGGAAAGTTTCGCAGCATTAATTCGCTGCACGGCTCTCCTTCTTCCACGCGGTTCTGTTTCCGCGCCACTGCACCCCGATGTACGACTTCTACCCGTAGGCCCGTGTTGCCCAACCCGAAGCCTCCAACTTGCCTTCAGCATTTCCCACTCGCTCTCGTACGGATGAGTTCTTGTTACACCTAGTTTTATTTCTCTTCTCTCCTTCTTTCGAAAAGTGCACTATATATATATATATATATATATATATATGTATGTATGTATTTATATATATGAACACGTGGGGTATGGCGAGCGATGTGTGTCGGTATGTATGTTAGTAGTGGGCTCGTGCTCACGCCCGTAGTTCCTCCTCGTCCCGGGCATCCGTGTGGCATCCCGGTTTCCGGCCAGTGGAAACCACTTTTCGAGAAACTTTACGTAATCTCCGGCTTAATTACAGGAGGGCCTCTCGCGATCGAGCCGAGAGATGAGACGCTTTGCGCGATTTATTGGCCAACCCACGCGTGCAACCCCCTCCCGTTTATCTCTCCTTGCCTCGAGAGAGGATTTGGCAAACCGAGTTTTATGCACGATTAAAACAGCTGATATATTCGTTTCAATCTTTACGCAATTGTTGTATTTTTAGACGATGCGATAACGTTGGAACATGCACTCATTTCACGCCTCTTATTTTTAATGCTTAATAATTTTCATTCGAAATTTTATTTGTACAGGTATTTTGGATTTGGAGTAATTCGGTCGGTCGTCTTTAATTAATTAACAAGTGATAATTGTAGAGTTGGAATTTAGATAATTGTATTCTAAATATTGTTGATAACGTTGAGTTGATAATTGATGAGCGTCTTTTCAATGTGTTGATATGATTATGATTTAAAATTGGATCTAGGAGTAGTAAGTAATTGTTGTATTTTTAATATTATTGTGATGTTGTGTTGAGTCGAGTAATTGAGTAATTGTTTTTTCACTTTTAATATTTTTTAATTATAAGTACAGTAATTGATTGTTGTTTTTCTTCAATTTCGATTTAAAATTCGATTTAAAAATCTATAGGTAATTGTTATATTTTTCATGTTGTGATCGATAATTGTTTCCTTTCTCATTTGAAGTTTCATCTCTGAGCTTAATTATCGAAATTTCAGCGTTGCCATGATTAATTTGGATTAATTTGCGAATACGATAATTTTCGATAATATCGATTTGAAAGACATTTGAATAAGACATTTCAGAGGATGAAAATTTTTTAAATTTCCATATTTTGGGAAATATAAAAGATAACAATTTTAATCGTGATATATTAAAATTCGTGTAACATTTAATTTAAGACTTTGAGTTTCCACAAATCGCGATCTCGATTTCTATTCGTTTCAATTATCAATGGAGTTAGGCGATTTATCTGAATTAGCACACCGTCGACTTGGTAAGGGCGCAATTGCGGATGCAAGGAAATCGGCGAATAATATATTTGAATCGGCGATTCGACCGATTAATTAAACGGATAACTTTCTGTTATCATCCGCGTGGAAGACTCGTCGATTCATCGACAGATTGCCGATAAACCTCGATTTGTGTTCGTGGAAATCGTTTGTGCAACTCGTGGAACATATGTTATCACGTGTTGTAACATTAAACCTTGCGATTATATTAAAAATGATACATACAGTATTTTTTTGCGATATTTTAAGATTTAATAGTATTTTAAGCCTTACAACCACAGAGATTTTCAATATCTTAAAAAGAAAGATATATATTATTCTACATATCTTACAGTTATCTTTTTAAGTGATTAGAAAAAGATTGTGTTTCTAATGTTAACTTCTGTAGGATTATGAATGAGATAGCTGATATAAAAAAATTTTTTTAAGCAAAGAATTTGCAAATAGATTAATAAATCGTTAAATGTAGATTTGTATGTCGTAAGAATTATTCAATCTTCCGCAAATTCCGTTGAAAAAAGAAAGTTTCGTGACTAATATAATATCGAATTCAATCCAGTTTGAACAATACTTTTATGAAATATCATGCGGTTAAAATTTTGATAAGTGACTGTTCGGTTGATATGGAAAGGAGATGTCAAGAACATCTTAAAATTACGATTCTTCTACATGATTTAAAAATATTTCTTCGGAGAAATCGCTCTCCTCGTTGTGAAAGAGTATTATCCTTCAATGTTCCAACCATGCTATTCCACGTCAAATCGCGTCTCGAGCAATCTCATATTTCTCAAGTTTCTTTCACGTTGTTCAGCATTTATCGATAGCTTTGATATATCTATATATATATATACACTGGTTTCTCGAAGAGAAATCAATTTTGAAACTGCCAACGATTTCGAAAGCCAGTTTTTATCTCTAACTTATGGATACACGATTAATGAATAAAAAAAAAAATTAATCTCAATCACTCTCCACTTCTCAGTCATTCAAATTATTCCTCTAAATTTATAAAAACTCCATTCTCCATTTCTCAGTCATTCAAATTATTCCTCTAAATTTATAAAAACTCTTAAAAAATTGAAAAGTATTCGAAAATGTTGGAAGAAATTATTTAAAAATATTTAACGAAACGTTAATAAACAATTGATGATAAAAAAAAAAAGAAAGAAAAAATTAAATCGTTCGATATAACTGCTTACCAAAGAAACAAGTCGCGTGTACACAACCTGTTTCCTGTTTCAAGCGAAATCTGATAAAATTGACTCTACATACTTGATAAGCTGGCTTATGTCGGCCGGAATTTTCTCGATTTTATTGTCCGAGAGATTGAGGTAGGTCAATCCTGTGAGCTCCAATAACTCTCGTGGTATCCTCCTCAACTCGTTGCTCTCCAAATGAACGATGCGAAGTTTTGGAAACCTTTGAGAAAGAAATTTAATTAATTTGATCGCGATTATAACGTAACTCTCTATTAACGAATACGATTGTATTAATGAAAATTTCGATGAAGATTTTCGCGTGAAACATAATTAATAAGGATGAATTCACGGTGAAAGTAAATGTTTTCGTACCTGTGCAACAATGTCAGGTTGTTGTTCGTGTTCGTTAGTTGGTTTTGGCTTAATATCAGCTCTTCTATCGCCGGAAATGCTATAGCGCTGTCGGGGATCCTTGACAGGCCCCCGTTGCTCAGATCCAACTGTTTCGGGCACGATGACAATTGTATAGCCTGCAACAATGCAACGCGTTTTCAACATCCACAAAGTGATTGGAAATTGATTTAAAACACAAATCATCGATCAAAATTTCATCATCATCGATCTGTTGTTGCTAGTCTCTTATTGCTATTCTTTCGTATCAATAACTGTTTCATACTTTTTTTCAAGAGTTAAAATTGTTATTAGACTGTTGTAAAATTTTCTCAGATGTCTATTTTTCTTAAAACTTGTTCTTTATGTATTATACACCTTTTTTTCTTAATTTAGGAGTTTTTTAATACACATGATTATATAGTAAAATTTTCTCAGATGTCTATTTTTCTTAAAACTTGTTCTTCACGTATTATACACCTTTTTTTCTTAATCTAGGGGTTTTTTAATACACACGATTATATAGTAAAATTTTCTCAGATGATTTATTTTTCTTAAAACTTGTTCTTCACGTATTATACATCTTTTTTTCTTAATCTAGGGAATTTTTTAATCAAATGGTTATATAATAAAATTTTCTCAGATGATTTATTTTTCTTAAAACTTGTTCTTTACGTATTATACACCTTTTTTTCTTAATCTAGAGGTTTTTTAATACACATGATTATATAGTAAAATTTTCTCAGATGTCTATTTTTCTTAAAACTTGTTCTTTACGTACTATACAGCTCTTTTTCTTAATCTAGGGATTTTTTAATACAAATGGTTATATAGTAAAATTTTCTCAAATTTCTGAAAATTTAAATTCGTAATTATTATTCTACTACCCCTTTTTCTTAATGTTTTTCAATACACGTGATTATAAGTAGCGAAAATTCTCTTCAACGAAGAAAAAGAACTATTGAAACGCCCTGTTGAATATTTTGTTGAATCGAAGTACGAAGGAAATAAGTTCCATTACCTCGGACTCGAGAGAGTCCGTGTCGATGGCGTCCCTGTCAAAGTCACGTTCCTCCATAATGGCGACCAAATCCCCGAGATACACCATTTTTCGCATATTCTCTCCAATTTCTATGATAATTATCGATCGTGGAACAGAAGAGCTTCGGTATCCAACCTCAAATCGCGAAATATTTTTCTCGTCACGCGATCATCGATTCCATTTCAATTTGTCCACGCGAAAAAAAAAAATCGTGCCACGTTTTCTTTTAACGGTTCTTCTTCTTTTTCTTCTTTTTTTTTTTTTTTNNTTTTTTTTTTTTTTCATCGGAAGAAACCAAGTCGATGTTTATTTCGTCTAAAACTTTCGTGAAATCCGATGAAAAAAGTTATAAACCCAAAGGGAAGGAAAGATTTTTCCTGTATTTTTGTTTTTTCTATTCTTTTTGTAAGGAAAGATGTAAAAATCGAAATTTTCCAATTTATATTTTCCTAACCATATCAAATATTCTATCAAACATCAGTATATACATTTCTAATCAAATATCATCGATTCTATGAATATGAATTAAGTTTTAAAAATAGAAACGGAGTGACGTGCGAATAATTTTAAAATTCTTAACATCGCATATTCCTACGTCAATGGAATAATAGATCGTTCGAATCGCGATTGATATTAATGTCGTACGACAAACTTGGCGCTATAAATGTATCATAAATTTCGTCATTTAGACTGTCGTTCAATAACTCGTAGCTCACAATAAAACATATATATATATATATATATATATATATATTGGTTGTAAAGAAAATTGAGAAATGATTGTGAAAAAGTTCGATGGCGGAATAATTATCTTGTAATTGCACGATCAATCATGAACTTAAATTTTAAATCGTTAAAAATTCATACGTAAAAATATTCTTGATGAACCTCATATTCAAATGTTTGATTGCCCATATATAAATGTTTCTGTTGAAATATTTTTTCATCCATTTCATACAATTGTCAACACACCCCGTATATACGATAAATTAATCACTATTTTTATTAAAAAAAAATCGTTTTCAAAATCTATTTCCTTCTCAAAGATACTTCAATTACACAATTTATACAAATTGATTCACAATTATTACTACAATATTTTCTACTCCCGTACCATTTTTCAACGTATGCCTTCATTTTAAAAAGAATCGCGTGCACGCAAATCGTTAAATCGACAAACGATGAACATGAAATTGAAAAAATGGCATACGAGGAAAAGGTGAGGCAAAATATCGTTTCCACGTAACGGATGTGTTTCGTGTATTGCGCATCGCACATCGGTGATCCAAAGAAAGAAAGAAAGAAAGAAAGAAAGAAGGGAAAAAGAGAACGAGGCGAGAGAGAAAAAAACGACAAAAAAAAAGCCGAGAAAAGAAGTTGAAGGAAAGAGAAGTTTCACGCGTCTCACGTTCTCTTTGAACACGTGTTAACGAGAAAGGGAACTTTTCCTACCAACTGCAGCGCCAGGAAAAACTTGCCTTATAAAGTGGCTTTCGATGCATGATGGCGAAAAACTTGGATGATTTAGCTCGATACACGAGATACGTGGGATTTGTAACAAATTTTATTAATAGAGATCGATCTTTTTACAGCGGTTTCCAACGGATATGGAATTACTCTCATGGGTAGAAGAGGCGGCCATCACGTATCGTCTATCAATTTCGTTTCGAAAAGTCGTTTCGCGAGGAGAAATTGGCAAAATTCTATTCGTGTTAACATTCGATCCTGCTCTCGAATTTGATACTTGAATTTTTCAGCGAAATTATTAGATATTGGGAACGGCGAAAAAAATTTGGTTTATTTAAATATACGGATGATAATTTTAGAAAAAAAAAAATGGAAAGTTTGGTAAAATTTGGGAAAATTAATAAAAAATCAACGCTGCAAATTATTAATAAGTAATATCTCGCGTCGATAGAATTTTTTCACAAGAAAAATTTTTGAGGTTAACAAATTCTAACCTAACTTTTTAATCAAGTTCGTGAATTCCCTAGAACAAATTAATAAATTCAAGACTTTCGATCGTTATAAAGAGTTTCGTTTATAAAGCCATCCATTAATCTCTTCCTTCGATAATATATTTTTCTATTTAATTTCAGACAAAAATTTGACAAGATTTTGATACAACGAGGAAAAATTACGAATATTAATAATAAAAACTCCCTTGCGTCAATAGATTTTTCACAAGAAGAATTTTTGAGGTTAAGGAATTCTAACCTAACTTTCAAGTTTATGATTCCTTTCTAGAACAAATTAAAGTAAATTCGAAGCTTTTAATCGCTACTCCACAGAACCTTATCACCCATTAATCTTCCCCTTCGACAATTCATTTTCTCTCGCCTTCCAGACACGTTCATTTTCACATTAGACCGATTCTCGAAGACTCCACCGGTCTTTTACACTCTCCTCGTACGCCTTTATTACGCAGCACCCCGTAAATAATCCGGGGAACGAAGATAAGGACGTCTCTAACGAACTGGTTGCGACAAATTAGAGAGTTCGCAAGAGGCAAGAAAGTGATTAAGGGAATCTCTACTACCCTGTAATTATCGGTTATCTCCTCTTTCGGGTATGCGTTATTGTTCCCATTAGTAGTCAAATTAATTCGAATTGTTTCGCGCGAGGCACGTGCTTTTGAGAAATTACAACGCAAGGATAAAGGACGCGTTGGAAAGGAAAATAACGGGCCCGGTGCTCGCTCTGACGCAACATCATCGTCCTCGGCCACCATCTTGGTCTTCGACCAGAGAGGAATGGATCGTTGCGTGCGCGCTGGATGACCAATGGATAATTAACCAATTCTAATTAAATATCTTAACTTGTTCGAGATTCAATGTTAAAATGTTAATTAAAGTGGGTTACGAGATTCTAACATTTCCGAAATCGTCGTAATTTGTTTGCAAAAAGAATATGTTTAAGAATTGTTCCAATATTTTCCTTTCTCCTCTTCTTTCAAATATACATTTTAATAATCTACTTCCTCCTTCTCCTAATCCAACACAAATTCTCTTCGTGTGAAAATAATTAATAATTCATTCCATTAAACATTAAATACACGAAAAAACTGTCCAATTATTTTAGGAAAAAGAATATATACGTTCGAAAATTGTTCTAATATTTCTCCTCTTTTCTCTCTCTTATTTTAAACATATACATTTTAATAATCTACTTCTTCCTTCACCTAATCCAACACAAATCCTCTCTAACCCACAGGACACGTGAAAATCGTTAATAATTCATTCCATCGATCACAAGATACATCAAATATTAAGAACATCGTTTTTTCTTTCTCCTTCACACGAAACATCACACTTTCCAACTCCGTTATCCGCAAAAGAGAATTATCGTTTCCTCTACGTCGTTCGTCAATCACATTACGACCATTATTAGACTTATCTCACGTTCAAACGACATTGCACGCGCGGCGGAACTTCGCAATGATTTCGGCTTCGAAATTTGGTCCCCGGCTCGCGAAAACCAAGTTTCAGAGTCTCTGAACGCGTCGGCCATCGGCCGTCTCGAACAGTTGCCATTGCAGAAGATTATTCATGACCGAGGAGAGGATCGTCACTGAGGTGGATTGTGGGTCTGTCGCCTGTCTTGGCCGCATGTAAACCGGAAGAACACGCTCAGTTGACCACTCCACACTTTGTTTCGCCGTTTCGCCGCTGGGATAAGAGAAGGATATCGATGGGATCCACGACGTGGAGGCAACGATATATTCTTCGATATGTTTGCTTCGAAATTGTATCTGTCGAAGATAATTTCTACTATTTTTAATTATTATTATTATTGTTATTGTTATTACTTGTTGAAATTGTAATGGATCAATCTGAGTGAAATTGTTGGGAAAAGAGAAAAGCTGGATCGAAGATTAATAATTCTTGGGATGGTTTTTGAATCAAGGATAGATTTGCTTCAATTAAGTATTTTTTTTTTTTTTTTTTTTTTAATGAAAATTGTTAAATACGAAGGAAATTTAGGAATTTTATTATTTATTTCAAAAGTGGATCTGATTAATGATTCTTAGAATGGCGATACTCGTTGAAACTTTTAATTATTTCCAAGTGAAAATTTCAAAATTCGATATCGAAGGAA